CCCCTAGAGTGAGAATACTGCTTTGCGATTTGATGCTTCCGGTCAGTTCCGGAGTCCCCAGGAAAACCATGGACTGTGTAATCAGAGAACCTTAGCAACCCTGGGCTAAATAACCAGTGAGAACACCTAGACGCCATCACTGAAAAGCAACAGGGCTGAAGATACGTGCATTGCCGTGCAGGCTCAGAGGACCCTGTGGTCCTCGGAGCTCCTCACAGGTCCCCAGGGCGCGCTCCCGCTCTCCTGTCTGGGAGAAGGAGACAGGTTTGGGCATGGTTGCCCCGATGGTCTGGAGAGACTGCTAAGATGTACACCCAGTGCTGGGACTCAGTTCACATACAAATCAAAGACTGCAGTTTACTACTTGGTCATCAAGAAAAAGCTTTTTAAAAAGAGATAGAATCTTCCAGAGACTTCCAAGCAACGTCAAGGCCCAGAAGGCGTATCTGTCGGGGTTCAGCCAGTTTGGAAACACACCATCTTCTCCAGGGGACCAGCAGATGTGATGAATCAGTCAGTCTGAAGCAGGACTCGGAGCTGGAGAGGGTGAGTTCTGACTCCACCCCCACACCCTCGGCTCTGGGCAGGAACACTGGGTATCACTGGCAATAAAAGGTGAGCACATTCTCCTGGTTGCCTCGTATAAGGACGACGGGAGGTCTGAGGTCCTGGGACAGGGTCTCCAGCCAGGCCATGTACAGCGAACTGGGGCACTTCCCCTTCCTTCCGATGGGCAAGGTGCTGTAGGAGGAAGAGTAGCAGCAGAGAAATTACCCAGGGCTTCCCCACACAGCCCAGCCCAGGCCTTGTTCTCTAAACAGTCCATCAGCTTCCTGCTTGCTCATGGTTCCTTCCCACTCACTTTTTTTTTTTTTTGGTTTTTCCAGACAGGGTTTCTCTGTGTAGCTTTTTTTGGAGCCTATCCTGGAACTCACTTTGTAGACCAGGCTGGCCTCGAACTCACAGAGATTTACCTGCCTCTGCCTCTCGAGTGCTGGGATTAAAGGCATGTAATGCCCGGCCTCCTTCCCACTCACTTTAAGACCTCGCTGCTGTCCTTCACAGAGTTCCTCAGAATACCTTGAGCCACAAAGTATTTCTAAGCAGCAGACCCATGGCCTGCACACACCCTATGATCCAGTCCCCTCCAACCCTTCCAACCTCACTTAGCCCTACTCACTGCTGAATTGCCACAGTGACAAATGCCAAGCCTGCTCCTGCCTCAGGACCTTTGCTGTTGATGCTCTTGACACTTGGGAAATGACCATGCCCAGCTCTGGGTGGCTCCTTGGAATCATCCAGATTTTTGCTCGAGGGCAGCTCCTCTCATTGACCACACCTTCCCACCCAATCCCCATTTGACTGTTTTCACAGCCCTTCCCAATCTTAAGGGCATCTTTAATTGTATTGCTTTGTTGTCTGTGTCCCCCATTAGAATATGTGTCCCAATATATCTACCTGCAGGTTGAGTTTACCTGGCCTCTCCCTTCTGTGCCCAGAATACACTCTGAGAGAGGCAGGTTCAGAAGGCGTTTGCTGAGTGAGAGGCCACCCCATGGGGTCACTAGCACCATGCCAGGCTTGCCTTTCCAGCGCCACAGTATGATGTGCTTGTGTGATGGACCTGCATGCCCTGGTCCTGCCCCCTGGCCAAGGGAGGGTGTCAGGGCAGACTCCAGCATGGACTCTCGGGGCCCCATTGTCCCGATTGCACAACACCATGCAAATAACAAGATGTCCTAGAATGCTGTTCAGTCATGTTTGCCTGTTTAGATCAGAAAGTGACTTTCCTGCCATCTTAACGATTCTAATGATGCTCTGGGACCATGTACCAGTCAGTGCCTAGGATTCAGCTTCTGGGAAATACAGCCTCCCACAGAACCAGCTGTGGTGCATGGAGTTGGGACACCAGTGCTTACATGGGACTTGGAGATCTACCAGTCCTCCACAGGCACTGTTTCGTCTGAGCTTTAGCCTAGCCCAGCGGTGGACAGTGCCCAGTGGCAGGGCAGGCCAGCAGGAACAGCCAGCCAGGCAGATTGGAACTGCGGTTCAGAGTTCAGAATCTGGCTTGCCATGTCCTCAGCCACGTGGCTTTGGCAAAGTGCCTGACCGGCCCTGAGCCTCAGGGTTCTGTAAAGTGAGAGGTACTACCCTTGTGGGCTGTCTGTGGGCACACACAGGGTGCAGGTGCTAGAGCTGGGCCCCCAGCCAGGTCTCTGGACCTTTCTGCCAGCTGCGTCTACTTGCTACAACCTCACACGCCCACTAAGAGCCTGTGACCACTAACTAAAATGCAGGGTCATAGCACCAGAGGGACAGCCACTGCCCTGTATTTAAAAAGTGAGGACCCAAGGAGCAGGAGAGGTGCATGGGAACAAGGACGTCTGTGTCACAAAGCAGCTGTCATCTTCCTTCGAAAGCATTTGGTGACAGTCCGTGGAAAGAGGACAGGAGAGGAGAACGGCCAAGTTTAGACTTCACGGGCACGCCTGAGGCCCAGGACGCTGCCATCCGCGAGATGCTGCATTGTCTTTGGGAACCCAATTCACCAGCTTTAAAGGCCACAGGGCACAGGTGCCTGCCATTTCAGAGCCCGCAAACACTCAGGGTTCCTACAGTATGCCTGGGCATCAAGTTCCCTCCCTCAGTGGAGCCTGTGGCCCTGTCCCAGGGACGGCAGCTTTAGCTCACTCAAGCACCCGCCAATGACATGCTTGCTCTTGCCAACAGGATGTGCTCTCCTTATCTTTAGAACAAAAACCGGGAACAAAACAACTTCTGTTCGAAATTGCAAGGCAATGTTAGGACAATGTTAGAGCCAGAAGTTAAGTCCCTGAACAGAGCCAATGGTGGCAGGCTGAGCGCCCGTCGGCTCCCCATCCGGAAGGTCCTGATCAGAGGACTCAGTTCCTATGGCAGTGTCCTCATCTCGAGGAACAGTTAGTGATGATTCTTGAAAGCAGCAAGACCCATACCTACAGTATCCTCGCACGTCTGCTGGTGGTGAGTACTCCTTAGTAATTACTCTTTGGCATTGAGGAGGGAACCCCTACAGGGAAAGGGGGTATCTGGTCTCCCCAGGAACAGAGGCTGTGGGGCTGGTTCCTGTGCCAGCTCAACACCTGTGCAGGTGTAGCTGTGCTCACACGTGGGTGGCGGTGTGGGGGTGCTTCATCAGATAAACCACCGATGAGTAGATAGACAGCCAGGTTCTGCCTGCAACCAACACCAGACTAGATGGCCATTGCACCTGGTCCCAGAGGGGATTGCTGTCTGTTTGTTGTCCTTAGAATATCTGGTGACAGGGGTCCTGAGCCCCTCCCCGGCCCCCTTCTGGGAGAGACTGTACAATTTGCATTTCTAGGGTTCCCGGGTCTAAAGAGGCTGACCTCAACTACACCTTGAGAAACCTGGGCTAGTCTCCAGCTTGGAGAGTTGCCACACACACACACACACACACACACACACACACACACACACACACACGCAGCTGCTCTGTCGAGCCCCAAGGAGTTGGTCCAGGAGCTGGGGCCCTGTTGACAGCTGCAGCTGCTGTCTAGGGTGGAGTTTGTGCAGGTGTCATCTCCAGGGTGACTGGATACACTATCGTTGCTCTCCTTGGCTAATCCTGCCGAGACTGGCTGGTGGGCGTTTGACTTCTGTAGTTTTGGGGTAGAAGGGAAAGGCAGGGAGAGGTGCCACTCAGGTAAACTTTCTCATCACAGGGCCCCTGAGAGATAGGTTCATTTTAATAGCAAATAAGTGTGTGTGTGTGTGGGGGGGTGTCGCAGCACCATGAAAGGGAACCTTGAAGCCTGCTTCAGTGGTCATTAGAGAAACCAAGGCTAGAGAGGCCTGGGCGTCCTTTCCAAGGTTACACAGTGAGCTAACAGCCGGCCATAATTGCAAGCCTGCTTCTTTAAAGCCCTGGGGAAGCGGCAGCTTCTCCTCTGGAGAGTTCACACCTCAGGTCCCCACCTGGTTAGAGGTCTTGGCGCATCGGGGATAAAGCCACCTCCACCGCCTTGTACTCTGACTTGGGCCACACCCTGGGCCCACACTGCCTTTGGAACATTCTCTGAGAGGTGTGGGCAATAAAGCAAATCCCGTCCTCAGCAATTTCTCAGTAGGAGAACATGATCTTCTGCAGGCCCTGGGAATTGCTCAGACACAATGGGCGTCACCTGACCGGAAGTGTTGCCACACTGGGCCCTACACTAGGAGGGTCCACACCTGGTCCACACTGGCTGTCACAGTCTGGACTCCTTTTCAATGCTGTGAGCCACATAGGAGGGCATTTCAAGGCAGAATTCAGCTTGGTAACTTCCTGTGTAGGGCCCCATTCATTGGCTGGCTGCGAGCTGAATACAGGGAGCCCAAGCCCTTGAGGAAAAGCATGTGTGGGGCCTGGTGTCCTCTGGGGTGGCCCAGGGAAGGACTGGCAGTTGCTTCAGCTCAGATCTCTGTGCTTTGGTGCTAATCTGTCTGAGATCTTGGCCGCCACTCTACACAGGACACCATGAATCCTTGGATACATATGAAGTGATTCGCAGGAACAAAGTCAGTAAGCCATTTGCTGTGGTCTGAATAGGCATGACCAGCTAAAATTCACCCCGTTGAAATGCTTCCCTCTGTGCTTAGAGGGCAATGGGCAAGAGTTTCAGGAGCTGGAGGTTTGGGGAGGTGATCAGGCCGAGAGGTTAGTGCTCTCTTTACAACACGGCTCTAGAGAGTTCCGTCATGTGAGGACAAGGGACCTCACAGTG